ACCCCAAAATTTAAAATATATTTTACATTTTACCTATTATCTTATGTACCTATTCATTATTTGTACATTGTAAAACATTTGCTGCATTTGTATGGTTCATAGTTAACTTTCCAAAGTATTTATTACTATATAATATAAATATGTATATATATTGTATTTATTAACTGTATATTATGTATATTTCGTGTAATATCATTTTTAAAATACAAACCAAAAATACGAGGAATAATTATGTTTTCCATGTATTCTACAACATATTAATTAATCCGTAGTATCTAACTAACGTGACGTCATAAATCTCGCTCCGTGGCTGTTCTATTAGAGACGGCATTGGTCTGATATTTAGAAATGTCAAAAGCTGATGACATTTTACTTTTAACAATTATGACATTTCGTGTTGATTTTTGTAAGAAGAGGAAGAACTGTCGCTTGTTTTATTATTTTCCTTTTCTATTTCACGAAAGTAAAAAAAGTTACCTATCTGATCCGTTCAGGCACTCAATTTAAAGAATATCAGTAACTTTTTTGACAGAGAGTTTTTATATTTGCCATGTTGGTAAAAAATAACGGTCAAAATTCAAAGTTATTCATTTTATAGACTATAGTAGAGATCCCGAGCTGTGTATTAGTTGTCCCAAATGTATACGATATTCTTCTACTATTTCCAGTGTTGTGTTATTTATAATGTGTATTAAATTAATGGTCAATATCATTGATCGTCATTTTTATGAAAACTAGAAGTAGTTTTTTTTATCAGGCGATGTGGTGGGTCAAATTCGACGCTTTTAAATGGAAACATCCTTTTCTATAGGAGATAGACAAAAACTAATATCGGTGTCTGGAGTTCAATTTTTGTCAAAAACATAATGGTGAAAACCGCATATCGATATCTGTTACCGTTTCGGAGTTACGGGGTATTTTTCAAAAATATGCATTTTTAACAAATCGCTGTAACTTTTTTTGCTATGGAAAATTTTGTATTTTTATGAAAACATTTCCGAAGCACCTTTTTACGTAGAATTTAATGGTTTAAGTATAATTTTTTTATAATTAATAATTTAAGAATTATCAACAGAAAATTTGATTTTTTATAAGGGACACCCTGTATATTTTTAATTTATTGAAAATAATTTAAAATTACCTTTCCAAAAATATAACGCCCTTGATATTTTGCTCCATTCCTCTTCGAGATATAGAGTATATAAAAATTCGCCCGCTTTAAATAAGTAGGCTTTGAACGGCACCGACTGTAATGCAAGAAAAATCTAGCTGTGAGCATCAATTAAAACAAAAATAATATTTGCTACGAGAGATGCAGAATTTTATAACAATTTAAAATATATTTAACCAACATCAACACATTTAAAATATATCTAATAACAATAAAAATAAATAGCAAACCAAGACATGAGATTTTGCTACAGGTGTTCGGCATATCGACCGTCTTCTGATATGGACAGAGAGACGGGGCAGTTTTTGAACATTTCTCGTGGAATTCATTAACTCAGTAGGGGTGAAAGATACCCTCTCATAACTGCTAAGTATTTTTAATTCTTGTCTAGATTATACGGAAGAATAAGGAACCTTTATTCTTCCACAAATATATCCATAGGAATAGATACATGGGCACTAAGTCAGGCGGCCTCGACGGCCAACGGCTGGGATCTTGGTTAGCTATCCAGTTATTCTTGAAATTTGCTGCAAAAATTTGCTGATAACTTCAGCGTTCAGAGGCAGTGCATCGTCTTGCTGGAAAAATATGTTTTCGAGTTCCATTAAGGGCATATTATTAATAAGGGGTCCAAAGCCTACTAGTTAAAAGTGGCGAACTTTTAAAAATTCTCTATTTAAAAGGGGATTATAACAGAATATCAAGTGTGCTATATTTTTGGAATGGTAATTTTAAATTCTTTTCAGTTATTTAAAAATATAGAGGGTGTCGCAAATAAAAAATCAATTTTTCTGTTGATAACTCTTAAATTATTAATTTTAAAAAAAATATACTTAAACCATTAAATTCTACGTAAAAAAGTGCTTGGGAAATGTTTTTATAGAAATACAAAATTTTCCATAACAAAAAAGTTACAGCGATTTGTTAAAAATGCACATTTTTGAAAAACACCCCGTAACTCCGAAACGGTAACAGATATTGATGTGCGGTTTTCACCATCAAATTTTTGATGAAAATTGAGTTCCAGACACCGATATTAGTTTTCGTCTATCTGCTATAGAAAAGGGTGTTTCCATTTAAAAGCGTCGAATTTGACCCACCCTGTACAAGCTTGTTTTAGAGATGCTTACTTCAAAAAAAGTTATCAAATGCATAACAGAGGTAAAGAAGTAGCATTAATTAAAAATTCTAATAATATTGCAGTATTTGCAGTAGGGATCATAAATATAATTAAATATTATTATTTTAATTTAAATACGTAAGTGTAGGTATCAATAAACAAATTACCATCAACAAATGGAATTTAACGACATTAACCCTATTATAATATAATTGTGTGTTAAGTAAGCGAAGAAGTAATATTAATAAATAAATACTCAATCTAATAAGTAATAAGATACATTAAAAATTAGCTATTTAACTTTACTGTGTCCCACTTAGTCCACGACCATGATTTTATAAAAGTCTAAGCATAATTACGTAAACTTGTATGCGTTTGTGATTATGAATCTATTTTTGTCAAAGCTCATTATCTCATAAGTGCAAATCAACAGTATTTTTCTGCATTTACTGGTATTTATTTCTTATTATATTTATGGTATAAAAATTCAACTTGTATGAATAAATTAAAAATTCATTAAAAAATTAAAAATATTGATTTAAACTATTAAATTATAGTTTTATTTTCTTTGAGAAATTATACAAGGTGAGCTTTTTACGATGTTCTTTACAGATATCTCGGAAACTAATGGCGCTAGAGAGTCTGTTAAATGAGGAAATAATTGCAGTTTTGTGGGGTTATAAATATGCGCTTGATTATTTCTGATTTGTTAAAAAGTTTATGGTTTACTAGATATTTCGAAAAAAATAAAACATTTTGGCATTTTATAAATGCTCCCTAATTCCAATATAAACTACCGTATGATCGGGAAAAAACGGCGCCAACGATGGCTATGAAATGAAGATCGCTGGCATTTTATATGTAAATTTATATGAGAAATGTCATCGATCGTCATTTCCCAGCCAACTGGAGGCCGTTTTTTTTTCGATCATACGGTATTTTCGAGGGTATTTTAGACAAAAAGTTTTCAGATTAAAGTTGTAAATAACCACATCGTTAATAAGACTGTGTTCTCCGTTTTTTTTTTCTAAAATATGTCATTTTTGACATATGACATAAACATGTATTTTTAAGTGAAAATTATAGTTGGCTATGACTTCATAAAAAGCACCATTTTTTAAGCTGGAGATTCAGCAGATCAAGATGGAGACTTTTTAAAATAGCCGAACTTTGTTTTTTACTAGATGTTTTAGTAAAAGCTATAAACATTTTCAAAAATCCGAAAAGCGCATATATGTTTGTCCTCACAAAACTGCAATCCGATGTTTAACCATAGTAAATTTTTGTTATTTTTAATATAAAATTCAAATGAAGTGATTAAAAAGTACTCCCTCAATACAAAAAGAAATGCAACGAAGTTACAATTAAGGAATAAATAATAAATAAAATTCAATACAAATTTCACTGGTTTGTCACCTATCAGCATTTGACTGAATAGTTGACAGAGGCATTGAGAGCATTTGACTGAATAGTTGAGACATTAAAATCACGTTAGATTTTTCTATTTTTATTAAGTTAAAAAATACGTGTTTATGTGGGATTACATATTCTTTATTACCCCAATATTAAATTTACTTTTATATTTTTTACTACTAGAAATTAAAACTTAAATTTTTATAATTAACAGGTTACTCCCATTTTTATCTAAGCACTAAACACTACCAAAGTTGTTCGGATGTTCGAGGCGTTCGAGGGTTCGAGATTAGATTTGTATTTTGTGGATTTTGCGTTTGGCGTTATAAATACTTTGAGTTTTCAATTTTGTTTTATTCTACCCTCTTTATTATTTTTGTAACAACGGTTGTTAAAGTTTGTTTTGTGAGGGGCTGTCTAAATAACTCTGAAGGCTAATTTAAAAAAAATGAGATGAAATTGAAGTATAATAAAAAAATACAGGTGTCATAAAATTGTATGAAGATTAATTATTTGCAACAAAAAAACTATGGTTAAACTCCGAATCATCATTTGACCAACTCTCTAGCTTCAGTAGTTACTAGTTACCAAGATACCCATAGAGAACAGCGTAGAAACTGTTATTCCTAAGATATAGCATAAACTTATGTTTTTCTTTAAATGGCATATTCTATATAATAATATATTATTTTATTTTCCTTGTTATGGATTTTCCAAAATTATAATACACTCTATTCTTATTTTCATAAACGAAGTAGAAAATGCATTATTTAACTTTTAAACATAGGCGGTCGGTTTAAATTAGGTAATTAATTAGAACAATCGAAGAATATAATTATTGCACAAGTGCATTAAAATTATAATAATAGACTGCACAAGCTCATTTTCAGTGCAGTTTATTAAGATAACATGATGGAAACAAGAATTATCTCATTAAATTAAATGAAATAAAATAATACTAATATTTTAATCTAGGTTGATTTATGTTAAAAAGTTAAGTAATAAGAAAATAAGTAACAGCTAAAAAAAATTAAGTACATTATATTTCATTAATTTTAATTTAGTTTTTTTCGTTTATTTTTATTATTTTCATTTTTTATTATTTTATTTTTGTTTAAATGTTTCACATCTTTGTATCTTTACACAAAAATGGGATATCCTGTACAATTTGTACATTCTCCTATTCACAAAATAATCATTATACAATGATCTTCATTTTTAAGCCAACTCTGATGTCGATTCTTTTTATAACCTCATATCTAGGATACGTTACCACTGATGTCTCTACAAAAAATGTCCGTTTTACCATTTATTTAAAAAAAAACTAACATATACGAAATATGACGTTTCTAATAAAAATTAACTCAATGACATATACAAAAACATGTAAAAAATTATAATAAATATACAATTTAAAACTAAAACTCCCCAGACGCTCCTGGCTGAACATATGTGGCTGTAGTGGTTCTCCTTCTCGATACGGTTTTCCTCCTTATATTTAACCCAAACCTTTGATTAATCTGGATTGTAATCTTTCTGAATATGTTCCTTAGTTCGTTTTGAACCTGTAAATAAAATTAATAAAGGATGATTTTCCGTTTTTTGTCCAATTTATAAATAAAATTAGTTATTTAGTACATTGTTAAATGATCCTCCTTGTATATGTCGCAGGCGCACAGAATAATCCGGGTTTTTGCAAAAGGACTAGGCATATTATAGAACGACCGCCGGCTTTTTAAACAAAAGAAGGAATATGTAAAAAGCCTATCTATTTTCAGTCACTTTGCAAAAAACCTAATCAGAATTAGGCATATTAAATAATTACGATGTTTTCTATACACTTCTGCAGTGCCTGTTTTCAGTCGTTTTACAAAGTGCCAAATCGTGGCCAGACAGATTAAAAAATGATCAAAGTTTAGTCAGTTATGAAGGTAAGTATATTGAATAATTTACTCTTTAATAAAAATACCCCATATTTTCCTATACAAAAACAATAATTTATGTCAACATTTTATTTTGTTTAGGAAGCTGGCTAAATAGTGAAAATACATGTGACGAAGAAGTAAAGGCAAAAATTGAAATGGCACGTAAAACATTCAAAAAATGGACTACCACGCCCACTAATAGAAACCTGTCACTGCAAACCCGATTACAAACACTACGTTGTTACATATGGTCAACACGAGACATGGACGCTAAAAGTCGAGAAGATAAATAAAATAGAAGCCTTTGAAATGTGGTGCTACCGGAGAATCCTTAAGATTTCTTGGACCGAACATACAAGCAATGAAGAAGTTCTTGGACAACTAAACAAAGGTCGGGAACTCTTAACCACCATCAAGGTCAGAAAGGTTAGCTACTTTGGACACATAATGCGTGGTAATATTATATTCCTCGTTTGATTATTCAAGGAAAAGTCGAAGGTAAAAGATGGGTAGGTTGAAAGAAACTGTCATGGCTGAAAAATATACAGAACTGGACCGATCTGAGGGTGGAAAGGCTGTTCATGCAGCAGAAGATAAAGAACTCTTCAACGAAATAGTCATGGAGATCGCCAACGCCTGAAGACAGGCACGGCACCGCAAGAAGAACATAATAATCGTCCTTAACCATACTCCATTTAACAGAATTATCACTTTTTGTGCGATTATTTCATAATTTTTGCAGAGAAGTTCAAGAAATGTTGCAGATAAATTTAAGTTAATTTTACCAATCCCGCGTAACATGTTTTGTACAATCTGACTAGTTTTCATTAGGCATTTTGTAAAGCGAATGAAAACAGATAGGCTCTTTGTAAAATATACTATTGTTAAAAACGCCGGCGTTTTATAATTTGCCTAGTCTTTTTGCAAAATGTCGAGTTAGTTGTAGGTCTGCTATAGAAAGATGCTCTATCCTACATACTAACTATTGGAAACAATAAATAGCCTTCTTATCCGATAGTCAATTAGCACTAAGAGCGATCAACTCAGTAACCGTCAATTCGAAGTTGGTTAATACCTAGAGAATCTGAACAAATTAGGCAAAGAAAATAAAGTCCTCCTACAACGGATGCCAACGATTCAGCTAGAAAAGGAACAAACTCTACACTATCTGGACCAGAGCCGTCCTGCTTTCCAAGTGAAAACCAACTTAAAGCGGAACTCAAAAACCTGGAAGACTCCTGTTGTCTGTTGACAAAATGAAGAAATTTCTCAAGCCTTACTACCGACAAAGAAACAAATAAAATTATTGACTTAAATAAGAACAATCTTCGGTTTGTTAAGGTTTTTTTAACAGGTCTCCTCAATGAATACCTCAGTAGATTATAGGTATCTAAGTAAACAACGGCGAATGGAGATTATCTAGGCAATCTTGGGGAAACACAAGACCACATTACTGAATATGCCGAGACGATAACCATTCTGCCATTAACTTTGGCACGACTGATATCAGAGATGGAGAACTAACCTCTATAAAACCGTCTCAGATACACATGGCTTTTGTCAAAGACCTGAGACTGTATGATGAAGATAACTCAAGAAGGGAGGACACAATAGATCTAGGAAAAAATAATAGATTAGGAAGAAATTCACAATCTAGTTATGGGTACATTCATAACAACTTATATTGAAGATTCGATAGCTATGTTTGTAACTCGATACATAATGAGTTTAGGAGTAGAAATAAACTAGTATATTTTTTTTTTCACTATAGCAACAAAATTACCAAATACTAACCTCTCTGTTTGCATAACAGAATAAAACGGCTACGAATATCCCTTGCATTGCCTCCATCGTATAACGGAAGTAATCATATACGTCTTCGGCCACACACGTGTCGTTTATTACGATCTTTTTCGCTGTGATGAAGATATGAAGTCCAAAGAGAGGTATAAGAAATAGCGTGGCTCTGAAGGCGGCTCTGAAAATAGAAAAAAAGTGGTTATACTTATGAAAGAATCTTATTTGGATATACATAGTGTGCTAACCTGAGCTTGCATTAAAAGTTTCTAGAGAGGTAAAATATCTAGATCGGAACTTTTTAGCATCACTCAGAGAGAGAATTTGACAGCAACTTTCTTATTTTAAATAGATACCCATATTTTTTTTATATTTGAATTTTATCTAAACATACATGAATTTTGATATCAAAAATCTACATTTAAAGATTTTTTTTATTATTTTTAGAACTGAAAATGGGCCGCCTAAGATCGTATAGCTTACGTCTAAGTTCGAGATCAGTACAAACACACACACACTGTGTCTTAAAAAGAAGACATGAAGCTTATTTATTTAAAGAATAAAATTAAAGTACTGCATTGTAGAATTATTGTATTTTTGACAGTACTTTAAAACAGTACTGAGTATTTTAAAAACTGCTAGATTTAAAGTGTCGCTAAACACAAGAAACGTAACAATCACAGAATATACTAACGAAAAAGAAGCCCAAGTTCCTTGTAATAAATCGGTTCCATTTTCGTAACGCCATCTCTCGACATAGCTGACATTATAGGTTAGCCAAAGGGGTGCGGGGCCGGGGGGAATTGTAAAATACATTTTTTTATTTAGTTATTTTTATTCGCTATTTGCAATTTTATTTTTAAAACATTATGTGAAACAATCACATAATAGGCATGTCTTAAAAATAAAATTGCAAACGGAAACAAAAGGAATTAAATAATCTGAAAATCTACAAAGTTTATTGATAAAAAAGTTAGGCTATGCAAATTGATAAGTATATTAAGTATAACCTCTTTGGTATAACATTGTTAAACAAACATTAACAAATCATAACATATCAGATCATAGAACTAAAAAAAGTACTATTACATAAAAACAGGTGATACAATACTTCAAAATTAATTTTAACATAATATCAAAACCGAAAAATCAAACTGCAAACAACCACACTTATCACAACAGAAACTAACACACACTTCCGCGGCAAATGTCCAAGAAAGACTGATCCAGGGCCATGTAAGTGAAATATTAAAAATGGTTCCAGCAAAAGTTTCCCAATTATGACGGGTGATGGCGCTGATCGTCAAAATTTTTGTACAGGGATTTTGCTTACCGATAATACGACGTGAGCTACGACCGGACCAGGACCAATCAGAATGATCAGTGCAGGTGGATGACACTTCTTATGGGAGAACTGGCAATGGTTGAAAACTACAAGCGATTTTCTAGGAATCTTCCTTACCGATAAATTATTGACAAGAGTAACAGATAAAGCCTTGACGTTCTTTCAGTATTCCAGTTCATCTCTTTTTCTTTCTAAAGTGTGCGTTGAAAGGAGACAAAAACAATTTTTGGTGACCCATAATTTGTTATTCGAACACCACTTTTCTCCTTGTCGGGTCGTTGACGTTGACTTGTCGCCATTTTATTTCTTTTGTTTACACGCTGCATTTTGCTTTGCAAATTTAATACATAAATTATTTAGGCAAATATATAGGTTTTTAATAAAACTCCTCGGACTAACGTGTAGGTAAGTGTTGATAATTTTTTTTTCATCTTAACATGCTCATTGTCGTTCTCCTGATTTTAGGTGACAGAAAAGGATCATCAAATCAAATTGAATTTTATATTTTCCTTCCTATTTATCCTTCCTAAATATCAACGAGATGAGCCATCGGAAGAAAGGGACCATAGTACAAAACAGAAAGGTGATCTTTTTTCTTTCCACTTCGGATATTGAAATTATTATATACTGTAGTCGTGTTCGGCATTATGCTCTGAGAAATATAGATAAACAAAGAACAACAGATATAAAGCATCCCAGAGGAAAAGAGAGGCAATACCTGTATGTACTCTCTCTGATATTTGTGAAAGTTACAGCAAAGTATTGTTGTAAATGTCATCTTTTTGATCGACCTGAAAACTTCGAGCAAAAAGATGACACTTTCAACAATACCCTGACAGATATCAGAGACGATACAGGTTTTTCCTCTCTTTTCCCCTGGAATACTTTTAATTTATTATTCTTTGTTTATCTAGATTTCTCAGAGCACTATGAACGAACTCAGCTTGTATGTTTGAAATAATCGTCCAGTTGGCTTAAAAATGATGATCGAAGACATTTCCCATATAATTTTACTTTCAAAATTATGATATATCTTTTATTTCTAAGCCATCTATGACGCCATTTTTTTCAGTTTTGTTATAATTAATTTTGTCTCTTGATCTACTTGTAACATTATTCTTTTAATTTTATTAATTTATTGTGGTGAAATTAATTTCTGTTGTATATTTGATATTGATATTAAACATATTTTTAAAAAATGGTGTATTTTTTGTGTTTTTGTGTATGTCATAATTAAAAATAAATGAAGAAAAATTTTTTATTTTTTAAACTTCCCGCCATGCGTGACAATTTAGTCCGTAGTTCCTACAAGCGAAATTGGGGGCGCTAGTAGCAGTAAACTTGTCAACAGTGTCAAATTTAAACGTCAATTTCACTTTCCAATATTTAGCAAGGCGCTCGCACTTCTTCTTGTGTATGTGTTTTGTGGATCAGTGTTTCTTGGACATTTGCCGCGGAAGTGTGTGTTAATTTCTGTTGTGATAAGTGTGGTTGTGTTTGCAGTTTGATTTTTCGGTTTTGATATTATGTTAAAATTAATTTTGAAGTATTATGTCACCTGTTTTGATGTAATAGTACTTTTTTTAGTTCTATGATCTTATATGTTATGATTTGTTAATGTTTGTTTAAGAATATTATACCAAAAAAAAATGTATCAATAAACTTTGTAGATTTTCAGATTATTTAATTCCTTTTGTTTTCGTTTGTAATTTTATTTTTAATACATGTTATGTGATTGTTTCACATAATATGTTTTAAAAATAAAATTGCAAATAGTGAATAAAAATAATTAAAATAAAAAAGTGTATTTTACAATTCCCCCGGCCCCGCACCCTTTTGGCTAACCTGTAAATGTCAGCTATGTCGAGAGATGGCGTTACGAAAATGGAACCGATTTATTACAAGGAACTTGGGTTTCTTTTTCGTTAGTATATTCTGTGGACTGATCATTCTGATTCGTCCTGGTTCGGTCGTAGCTCACGTCGTATTGTCGGTAAGTAAAATACCTGTCCAAAAATTTTGACGATCAGCGCCATCATCCGTCATAATTGGGAAACTTTTGCTGGAACCATTTTTAATATTTCACTTACATGGCCCTGGTAACAATATATTATCTGACAAACGAATCTAAAACAGCGGAAGGAATTCGGGCAAAAAAAGTCGATGTTGTCACGTTTAATTATAGAAAAGCAAAGTTGCTCGATATTACCTATAAATTGAATATATTTTAGTTCATTTCAGCATACATAATTATATATATGCTAATATGTTCTAGTACGTAGTTCTTATTGTAATAATGTATTCTATTGTGATAATCTATCTAATTAACTGATTTCGTTCATTCTGCCTATTATAAAAGGTAAAGTATTTCCTTAAGATAACGTCCGCTTAGGGTAAGCTGGCAACGCTGACAAAATTCATCATGGCATCCCGGATTCAATCAGTCTGATTGGTCGAGATTCTCGCACGTCTTGCCGCCATTACCCCCAAATTTATGCCCCTCTCTAGGAATAGTAGAAACAGTCACTACTATTGAAAAATCCAGTGGCGGTGTTATTGTATTGTGTATTATATCTTTAACTTGATTTGTGTTTATTGTAATTAGTACACGCGTTTTAACAAATATTACTATATTTGGCAAATGACTAAACAAAATGTAGGTACATTTAAAGTAAAAAAATATTATAAACTTTACTGGAAAATATTATAAAAATTCCTGATATATTTTTATGAAACACCGCACGCTCGTGGATATTTTATGAATGAAATCGGTCATGATTTTAGAAAATTGCGATCCCCTTGCCGTTGCCTCGTTGTTTCAGATCCGTTTGTCAGACTTTAGGATATACCGTAGGATCTAACAAGAAATGGCCTCAGAAACGGCTGGGGAATGACACTTAATGATAATAACTAACAGAATAACTGTATTTTAAATTTCAATCTAGAATCTAATTTTTAATCAAGGAGCCTTGGAGTTTTGAAAAGGTGAATCGTACTTTAATTACATCTCAATTTTTTGGTGGCATATTTAAAAATAAAAAACATTTCTACGAATCATTTGGTGTTCGGGTCATATTGTTATATCGAGTATTGGTATATACAGGGTGTTACAAATTCGAGGTACGAGCATTGGTGTCTCGGAAACCGTAATACATACGAAAATATTTAAATTGGGGCAAAGTTACGCCTCGGGATGTTGACCAAGATACCATCAAAAAAGTTTTAAAAATTTCAAAGATTGAGTTTTTTGGAAAAAAAACGGATTTTTTTGAAAATCAATTTTATTTTTTCCTGTCGTTACTTTTTAGAAAATCAAAAAACTAATTAGACATCCTTATTAGCGATGGAATAACTCGAACGAAAATTCGCTCGAATACTTGATTATTCAAAAAACCGACATCGCTCGATTATGAACGAGCGATGCAAGTGACGAGTTACGAGCGACGAACGCAAGCGGTCCTAGAATGAAATAAATCGAAATGCGATTTTAATGTGGCATACTCGATAAAAAGCCGATCGAATATTCTACATACATACATTGCAGGTAGCAAATTTATACGACGTTATCCGTTGCGTATCTGAGTGACAAAATTTTACGACCTACATTGACAATGCCTTGAAATAAACTAAATTAAGCGATCAAGCGTACCGCTCATCATTCATCACCGAAAGAATATGTGCTCTGCGCACGCAACTTGCTGCTTGGCTTTACGAGTACAACAAGCGACGGGCAAACCGTATTTCTGAATACGAGCGATATTTCACTCGAGCGATCGCTCGATTATTGAAATCGCTTGAAACTCGAGTACTCCCAGCACTAATTCTCATAGCCACTTTATTAGAGATATCCGATAGTGTTTTCAAATTTTCAAATTGGCTGATAATTTGTGGGATACAGAGGCTGACTATTTCTTTTTAAATACGGACCTGCATTTTTTATTTCAGGTTTTGAAAGAACTTGGTCTCCTGAGTACAATGATATGGCACACTTTATACTTTTTTTTTTGTTTCGAACATTTGAACGAAATTTATTTAAACTAGGTCAGTTTCACTGAAAATTATCATCGATTGTTATTCATCGGCCCTCTTTGACACCGTTTTCTTTCAATCGTATGGTACCATATTTATCAAGTTAACGATCAAATATTATATGACCGTAAAAACACCGCCAAGTTGGCTTAGAACTGACAGTGATCTTCATGCAAACCAACTATAATGCCGTTATTTTTGATCAATTTCGGTAAAACTATTTTAGACTAAGAAATTTTTTATAATGCCAGTGAAAACAAGAACTATAATAATTATTTCCAATGTCACGGCCCGATAAAATTATAGTACTTACTAATATTCGTAATGACTTACTCCAACTAAAACATTATGGCTTCACAACTACGTCAATAATAATTCTAATAACGGAACAAAGAACAAAAAACCCGAAAGTTCAAACCAACCGTGACTAAATCAACTGTACAACATGTTAATAAAAAAAATAACATAAAGTATTGTGTTAAAAATATTTATTTTAGACGCACACGCGCTACACTCACTTTGTTTGTCTTGTTGTACTGCCTTGTTTCATTTTCGATATCATTACCCTGATAATATCCAGCAAAAGTACCGTGTTTATGCTCAATATGGCGATACGAAAGCTGTCCACGGACCATTGAGCGCCATTTTTGTCAACTGCCCAACAATCGGTCGCCTGGAGGGAGATCAGTATGGAAGCCCAAATGATGGATGGTAAAAAAGTCAGCACTGAAAATAAAAAATATACAATTTATTATAAACTATATAACCTTACTTCACCCTATACAGGGTGAGTTTCCTACGATGTTCTCTATGGGTATCTCGGAAACTACTGGAGATAGAGAGTCGGTTAAATGAGGACAGAATTGCAGTTTTGTGGGGTCATAAATATGCGCCTTTCAGATTTTTGAAAAAGTTCATGGCTTACGAGATATTTCGAAAAAAACAAATTTCGTCTATTTCAAAAATTGTCCCTGATTCCATTATAATCTATTTTAGACAAAAACAGATAAAAGTTGTAGAAAATCACATCCTTAATGAGATTTTCTCCTCCGTTTTTTTTCTAAAGCCTGTCATTTTTGACATATGACACAAACATATATGTTTTATGTAAATGGAAACCATAGTTGGCCATGACTTCATAAAAAGCGCCATTTTTAAGCTTTTCAGCGATATAAGCTATAATATGTTTCTTTCGAAAAATTGCTGAGTTATAGCCATTTCTTCTCATTTTTAAATAATTTCACTTAGTTAGCCATGGGAACAAGTTCAATCGTCGTTGCTCTCAGTAATGTGAAAATGTCCAAGCTTTGTAAATTAAAATAAATAAAAATTGTAAATATGACTTTCCTTGGCCAAACATTATCGAGGATATGTTGACCGGTGAACGTTACATACGTTTTTTAGAAAAGTAAAATTTAGATACTCGCGCATCAATAGAGTGGTTCCATCATGACTTTCATTATGATACTACCCGTTATAATGAAAGAAATGTTAAAAATGATTTATATCATAATTATGCAAAACTCAGGGATAGGAAGAGGTGAGAGCAATTACATGGGCCTCCTCGATCACCTGACCTATCCATTTTTAGTTTTTTTTAACAAGGTTTACAAAAGAACTTATGAATTAAGAGAGAAAATCGAAGAAGCAGGCGGTACGGGAGAAGTTTATTAAAGTCGACCGGCCGTTCTGTGGGAAAAGCTTGTAATTCAGTTTTAAAAAGATGCATTTCATATACTCAAAACAATGGCGGTTTTTTGAAATTTTGAAAACCGTTTCCGAGTTATTGACTTAAATTTAAATTACTTATTACTTAAATTTAAATTAAACATTTACTTCACTTACCTGCTACCACCAAGTACAGCACAGCTATCGGAGGCTCCTTAGCAAACGCTCTAACGATAACCTTGTGCAAATAGTACCCATCTACCAACATGCAGGCGTACGTAGAATTCGTAGACGAACTGACCAGAAAAGATAGCACTCTACAAGCCACCGAATTGGACTCCATCACTCCTTTGGAATACGTGGACGAAAGTAAAGCATCTATTATAACCAACTTCTTGTAAAGAATGTTCATAATGTTCCTTGTCACGATGGCAATCAGCAGATTCCTGTGCAAGATAACCCTCGTTGTTACTCTGAAGTTGGGTATTGCTACAAAGATGATGATAGCTGGGAAGGAACAGGAAATGCAGACGATGAGGAATATGACATGGAAGTTGTGCCTTCTTAATAAAACTGGAGCTATGGCACAGGTGGAGTAGTCGGTTTGTTGGTTCCATTCGGATTGATTGGTGATAGGGTCTCTGTAGCATTGCTTGCTGCTTTGCACTAAAATCAGATAAAACAATAATTATACAGGGTCCGGCAATAACGCGTGCAAAAAAAAAAGCAATTTTGTTGAAGTGCAAACCTAAAGTATGTGTTAGGATGTATTTCAGAAAAATAATTTAACCTCTACAGGGTGATTCAAAAAACTGTGAGTGGATCAGGATGATTTTTTTAAATAGAACACCCCGTATGTTATTGTTATTACATTTTTGGCTTCCTTTCTGATCAATTTACATAATCTTAAGATATTTTTAAATAAGTTTCGATAGTTTCAGAGATTAATAAATAAAAAAAAATATATTTTTTGAGCCTTTCTTAAAAAAATTATTAAAAATACAAGAGCTGTCTTGAAATCAAAACTATATTAGGTGTTTACTTTAGATGACCTGTACTTACTTTGCTACAAATATCGTAATCTTAAATCATACAGGGTGTTCAATATTCTACGCCAAACTTTCTAAAATATAAAATAATATTTTTCTTCGTTATCTTAAATGGAACACCCTGTACATTCCTGTATATTATTCCTTAAATAGATGAAGAATTAAATTAATTAAAAAAATTAACATAATGAACATTTTTTGTATTTAGAGTATTTTAAAATTTTTAACGGCTTTGCAGATGCCTCTTTCAACGGTAAAATACGAGAGAAAAATCATTGGGTGGCTTTGATAAAAGTTTACTATAGATAATGCCATATGAAATATAAAACCCCGAATATCTGCGAAAACGTTAAAAATTATTTACTAAAAAAATAATATACAGGGTGCTCCATTTAAAAAACAAAGAAAATCTATTTTATATTTTAGAAAGTTTGGCATAGAATTTTGAACATAGTTGCAAAGTTGGCTACGCCATAAAAAATAGCGAGTATAGGAGAATGTGAGTTTTGAATGATTTCAGGAAAGATCAATGTTGGGACTATCTCTGAGAGAAAAAGTACCGAATATCGAAGTACGGGGGGGGGGGGAGAACAAAAGTCATGGATGCCATAGAAAAAATAACTACTGTGAAATGGAATTGGGCAGGGCACATAACAAGGCTAAACGATGACCGATGGACAAAGAAAATGACAGAATGGAGACCAAGACACGATGCATTCACGACCAGATGGCATAACGACTTAAGGCGTATCTACAGTAACTGGATGCAAATAGCTCAAGATAGGGAGTTATGGAAGCAAACGAGGGGGGCCTACTTCCAGCAGTGGACTTTATTGGCTGGTTGATGATGATGATGATGATATTTATAATAAGCTAAGCCCTTACTTACACGTACAAACCTTCTCAGGAGATTGGTAAGCTTGGCTACTACATGGTAAATACGTAGTTGTATCCACTGGTGTCCTTGGAAAACAGGACCATGCATCCCAAATAACTGGACAAGATTCGTCATCTGCAATGAGAACCGACTATTTTATTTACTTTATATTATCCTGGATTATTTTGATTGTATATTTGGAAGAAATAATATCTTACGGAGAGTGTACCAAGCCTATAACCGTTGATTGTAAGAATTGGAAAGATACGCGCAGCCTAATGAGCAAATTCGTGACAAGGCTGATTTGATTTTCCCTTACGTCTCAAGTGCTATACGGTGGAGACACCAATTGTTCTGCGGTCAGCGCATAAAATACTTATTTTCTCTAATTAGGCCAGCGAAGGCATATCGAATACGGTGTGGATCTGAAAACGACAGTGTTGCCATATTAAAATGTGTAATATCTGTAATACGTTTGACGAAAATATCTTAGGATGAAAAATCCGCGTTTATGTACCTATTGAAAATTTATTCGCGTTAAGCATAGAATAAAAACAAAAATAAAAATTCTTTTATAGGTGCTGAATATGTCGTATCATCGAAAAAAAGTCGTTTATCTGAAGCCGTCCTTTGTTTAATCATATAATATGATATTAAATTGTTTAATTATAGAAAATGTCTATCATTAACGTACTGTACTCAAAATCCGTAAACCTACGGATTAATCAGTAGTTCTGGCAACACTGTCTCCGGCAACCACACACTCTGTTGACTGAACGCAGAACTACGGTTTTCTATTCTTAATCCGCTGCGCTGTAAACGACTATCAGCGTGCAGCGGCGCAGAGCTAAACCAAATATCGGAATTCTCGGACAGGCTGACGGTAACGCCAGCTACATCTCGGACAGGTTTTGTGCCAAGAAATCGCCCATAAGGTTGCGCATTTTCTTATTTCTTCAATCAACGCTATAACGATTCACTAATATTTTAAATATAATATTTGTATAATTATTACCTGCTCGTATGTTTTCATTGGTCATGACATTTTGACAGCAATTTTCGGCTTCTTGGCAACACTTGACGTAATTAACAAAAACTTCGTCGGACTTGAAGGACTCTCGCAAAAGAGCCAAAGAGTCTGTATCTCGGTAATCGAAGAGAGCAATGTGAGAGCTATTGATCTAAAATAAAAACTGTAAAACTATTTATACAGTGTCACATATCGATAGTTTTGTTATATTTTTTAGATAATAAATACTATTCCAAATAATTCAGAACTCCGCTATACAGGATGTTTCAAACATGTGCCATCTCTCGTTGGGGATTCTTCATATAAAAATAAGATTTATTTTTCATATCAACATAGGTCCGATTTTGCTTTATTTCGTAGCTACAGGGTGTTAATTATTATTTATGAGCGCCACATACATAAATGTGCGCCACTGACTTTTTTCTTATGATATCAAAATTGTATAGCAATAATTAAACGTTCACAAGTAGCACAGGAAGGAGAAAAAACCATTAACCACGGAAAGTTAACCACTTTTTGGTTGAATTTTACTTATACTTAACTTAATAAATTTCTTGTAGGGAATAAAGTGCGAAAAATCTAAAAATGAGGTCGTAAACTGGTAAGTGAGGTCGTATATACAAAACTATGAGGTCGTAAACTAATAATGACCTAAAATTATGCCTTTGAAAAGTAGCAACGTTGGAATTAGCTGGCAGTGTTAAAATCTAGTTTCTGATAACCTATTGTAGCGTTTTTTAAACAACTACCACTGCGAACGGCAGCTTTTCATCGGAGAGCAGTCGTGGATAAGGTATTTCACTGGAAAGAAAACTAATTAAGAACAATAAACAAAAAAATAGATATTGGGCGCCAGGCATGTACAGAGAAAGAAAACACAGTTGTATATTACTTAAAACTATGACTATATTTATTCATGATGAATTCTGATGGTAAATAGCATTGTACAATTTTAATAATTATTATAGTGGTTATTTGTTGAGTAAAACTATGTATGTAAATAATATTAAATATGTTCTATGAAAAGACTATGAAAAAAATACAATGCGTGTAACGTTATAGAAAATATAAGAAAAGTAGCATTACTTTATTTAAATTGTTAAATTTTATGCGGTGTTAAATCTGATGTGTTGCAACCTGTAGATTCTAGAATCTATGTCTCATTATTCATCTGTTAATATAGCGCAATAATAATATCTATAGAAAGTAATACTATTACAAGGCGTAATATAATGAAACCTAAAATCTAAATTACATTGTAACTACTGCATCGACATAAATGTTCTTAATAATCTAACCACTAAATATAGTCTGTACGATATTATTTAAAATGTACGTTACTATTTAAGACTGACAATATTTTAGATGTTAAATGTAAAACTAGAACTTAAATATACACTTAGCTGTTCTTTTATGTAACCTTGCTTCAAACAGTAGCAGCGTGAGGCGGTCTAGCATTTCTGTACTGTCTGTCGGCGATCCTGTTGACCAAAACAACAAAAGGGGCCAGATTGAGGACACCATGAATCACTACAGCCGTAGCTACTGACTAGGCTTAGAAATGGGAGTGAAGCAGCATGGGACTCAAGCTACATCTACGCTGTGGCACTTGGACACAGTCCGTACCTTGGACACAGTCCGTACCTTGGACACAGTCCGTACCTTGGACACAGTCCGTACCTTGGACACAGTCCGTACCTTGGACACAGTCCGTATCTTGGACACAGTCCGTACCTTGGACACAGTCCGTATCTTGGAAATAGTCCGTACCTTGGACGCAGTCCGTACCTTGGACACAGTCCGTATCTTGGAAATAGTCCGTACCTTGGAAATAGTCCGTACCTTGGACCCTACAAATATGAAACTCTTGTTTAAAACCAAACAAGATCTTATAAACAAAATGAACCTACCTCGAATTAATTCCATCGCTCACTAAATAATAAAGAACCTGTCCTTCCTTCCATGTGACATTCTGGAGGACAAAAGAAAAGGGACGCCAACGTGCCAGCAAAATACAATTACAAGTTAGGTTGGGGCATCCGCAACTCTACCCTAAAAATATTCAATAATAATATCGAATCTATAAAAAGCAATAACTATCTTTACCTGTAGCCTCGAAATAGCAGCTGATTCAGATTACTCAGCAAGATTTAAATAATCACCATTTCTTAAAAACTGGGACTAATGGCGTCTGACAGGCCAAACGATCAAACCAAAAGTGAAGTTAAATCACAGAGAGTTGACAGAACCAATGTTGACAGCGCGCGCCTCCACAGAGCGATAAAAGGGTTGTGTCAAACGAAAACAGGGTTGTGGACTAGAGAACGTAAAAATTCGTCAAATAAATCATCAGGCCCGAACGATACGGGATCGGGTGACGATATGCCAGACATCATATATTATATATAATAAAGACATGTAACGAACTAAAAACGTTACACTATTCATTGCATTAAGACTACAGAGACTTAAAGTAGGTCAAATGTTTGGTTTGGTTAAAGTTAGGTTAAAATTTAGTTGTTAATAACTTTAAATGAGACCTTATTTGGAGGAGTTCAAATTAGGTTGAAACTTTAATTTATTTTGACCTCATAAGTCGCTATTATGCTTCCAAGGTAAAAGTAATTTAGTTTTTTGACTTGAAAGAAAGTGAGACATACGGCAGGTTAAAAATTACCTTTTTTAATTTCCTCGGGGTGATTTCCGTTTAAAAAAGTTTTCGATGGGTTATTACGTCATAGCACATTACCTTGTTCCCACTGGTAGGGAACGAAAGAATATTCAATGCGTTTCTTATATTATAGTTATTAGAAAAATTTATGATTAATTTAAAAAAATAAAAATTTCCCAAATTTATCATTTCAGTTAAATAACTATCTACACAACATGTTTATTTTTTGTGAATAATGACATGTATTGACTATTTTTATTCTAAATATCTTGATAACGGTTGCTCCTAACGATTTTTACCAAGAGACATTTTTTACTTATAAAATTATGGGAATGTATATTTTTTCAGCCGGTAGTTTTATGCAGGTACGGACGAAAAGTTATTACTCTTCAAAACAGTTAAAACACATGTAGGTAGCGCCCTCTACAAATAGGAGTCATATTGTCATCAAAATCAAATTTCTCATGTCAAAAAACTCCGAGACACCAATTTTCATCTAAAATATTGACGTTACTTCAGAAATTATTTGGAAACAATCGAAATAAAAATAAAACTTCTACGCCCTGTATCTCCGAAACTAAGCATTTTAGGACATATATTTATATGAGCTTTTTTACTTATTTTTATCCGCAGAATATGTTACCGAAGTTTTCGGAATACAGTTCGGACCACTCTGTATATTGAAGAATCGATATATCGACTAAAATCTTTCCCCCAAAAATTTTCCCCCAAGAAATTAAATTAAAAGTAGATTTTTTTTGAAATGTTAACTTTCTTCTTATTTAATTTGCGACTAAATCCATTATCTTACATTCTTATTAAAGGAGCCAGCCATTTTTATTCTTTTAAATATAAGGTAGTTTGATTAATAGAGGTAATTTTTTAAATATAAGGTAGTTTCATTAAAGTCATTTTTCATTATTTAAGTTTATATGTTTCGAATCCGAAAGTTTAATTGTATTGTCTTCTAGAGCTCATTTAATTAATTATTCTCTTCTTTGTTTTACTTTTAATTTTTTTCTCGATATTTTGATATTCTTAATTTTATTTTATTTTTATTAATAATTTTTAGATGTTTGTTTTCTCTATGTTTTACTTTTACATATTTTTAAATAAAGTTAGCACTTAAGTTGTTAAAAAAAAATTTAACAACTTAAGTGCTGAAAAGCAACACCAGAAACGACAATATTATTAACAAATTAATCTTAGATGATTGAAAGTATTATACATATATAATTGAAATAATTTCATTATTGGCTCATTTCAGTGTTTTGTCTATATCAACCATTCTAGTAAGCATTTGCGATATGTAAAAGAAATGCAAACATAAGTTTTACAACCTCGGTTACAACTTACTAAAAGTATAATGAATTTATAAGTCTATATATTTTAGCTCAATTAAAAGCCTCTTGGTGAGGCAAACTAGTCCCAGAGAAAAAACATATAAGTATCGTATACCCAAAAAGTTAGTTACCATGGGCCTACTTGATTTGAAACAAACATTAGATAAAGTTAATTTGCCTAATTCATTTTTTAATGCATGACATTGACAGTATAGCACAATTTAGTACTTACTTTAGAAATTGGTAAGGTTATGTTGGCTTTATATTTCGGCCAGTAAAAGGGAAACGATGTGTTATAGTCATTTTTAGTTGTGAATCTAGCACTATTCGTATAATTGTAACAAAAAAATCCTGTATAATGGTTCCATTGGTATTGTGATAACGTAATGCCTCTTACTAGGCAGGACTTGGAAACATTCTGGAAATAAAATATTAATTGTAAGTAGGTGTATGTTGATAAACGATGATGGAATTCAAAAATGATTTTTATATAAATGCAATCCCTATAAACATCTTAATAATATCTTCTAAGTTGTTAATGTTTAAAAGTTGATCAATCATATACAAGGTGGTCCGATTTTTATTTCGATGGTTTCATTTTTATTTCGATTTTTTCCAAATAATTTATGAAGTAACATTAATATTTGGATGAAAATTGGTGTCTGCGAGTTTTTTGACATAAGAAATTTGATTTTGATGTCAATATGACTCCTACTTGTAGAAGGCGCTACCTACATATTTTTTAACTGGTTTGAAGAATAATAACTTTTCGTTCGTACCTGTATAAAACTACTAGTTTTTTTTGCGTAAAAAGGGTATCTTGGTAAAAATCGCTACGAGTAATAGTTCTCCAGATATTTGGAATCGAAATTATCAATACCTGTCATCATTGACATAAATAAAACATGTTGACTAAATAGTTTTATTAGACTGAAATCATAAAAAATTCGAAATATTTTTGTGCCAAAAGTTCAACAGAAACTGTCTTATCATCATTTTTTCGCAGAAAAATTTATGATTAATTTAAAAAATTAAAATTTCCCAGATTTATTATTTCAGTCAAATAAGTATCTACTCAACGTGTTTATTTTTTGTGAATGTTTTTTGTGAACATGTTTTGACTATTTCCATTCTTGAAAACCGTTACTCGTAGCGATTTTTACCAGGAAATATTTTTTACGTAAAAAATCACGGAAATGTATATTTTTCACTCAGTAGTTTTATACAGGTACGGACGAAAATTTATGACTCTTCAAAACAGTTAAAACACATGTAGGTGGCGCCCCCTACAAATAAGAGTCATATTAATATCAAAATCAAATTCCCCATGTCAAAAAACTCCCAGACACCAATTTTCATCCAAATATTGACGTTACTTCAGAAATTATGTGGATAAAATCGAAATAAAAATGAAACTTCTACACCCTGTATCTCCGAAACTAAGCATTTTAGGACATACATTTATACGAACTTTTTTACTTATTTCTATTTGCAGTATATGCTGCCGATGTTTCCGGAATACTGTTCGGACCACCCTGTATATTGGAAAAAATATTACAATAAATTTTAATATACGAGACGGATATATGACGGTAAAACATTTTCTACTTACGTCATTACCAGCAGGAATATACTCTTGATATGGTTCATTTGGAAGAGCTGTCTGAAACAAAACGTAAATAAGAGTTAAATTAGAAAATAGATCTTAATTCCCGTTAATTGGGTAATAGACCAGGAAACGAAAACATGAATTCGGAAAAAAATAGTGTCAAAGAGATCATTTGTTGGAATTAGTAAAACAGACGACGCGTTTGCATAACGTTGGAATAGGTCCTGAAAGTGACGACGGAAAACTCTTTATTGCCCAACATTGTAACTACGTCCGAATCACCTAAAGATCACTTAAGCAAAAAAGGTTAAAAGACAACGTTTAATCGACGTCGCAGAAGCTTTACTTTGTTGTAGTACTAGTTCAACGTCGGCACAACGTTACAACAACGTCTACATTTATTTTAATACCCAAGGTACGGGGCTAACTATTTTTTGTAACTAATCCAACGTTGTGTTTAGTAAATATTTCGTCGCAAGTCGTGAAAATGCTACTTGGGAAAAAGTATACATTTAATAGATACCTAGATATACCTACTACAATAAAGCAATATATCAAATAAACATAATAAAATAAAAGATTGAGGTAATAAATATATTAGAGAGATATTCCAAATATGTTTATTTTATGTTGTTTCTTGACATTATGTTTCTTGCCACCATTATAATAATTGAAGAAATTAAATAGACATAAATATGTTTTCAAAAGAAATCCAAATAAATATTTCATATTTGTATGTTTATGATCATTTCTCAAGTTCAAGACAACATGAAGCGCATATTCCATTAATTATTATTAAAAAATAATATTAATTATATATTAATTAATTATTAATAAATTTATTTCTGCCTTCTTTGTTACAAAAATTATTTTTCTAGTCTAAATAATTACAAATCATTAAACATCAATGAGTTCGCACTGATTATTAGTTTAGCCAAGCCGGCTAAAAATAAATCATTAATATATTTTAGGATACCTTTTAACTGGAAATCCTTATAAATGTTTAAATAATAAAAAATGTTATTTATTACTCATCGGGAATAACGTCTATTTTTATATAAGTTTATAATGTAATAAAATATAATTATCAACATTTTCTAAAATAATTTTTATGGTTCAATTACGCTAAAAGTTTTTAATTATTTTAATTAGAAAAAATACCTGTACATGAATGTACAGTATGTCCCTGGATTGTTTTTAGAAAAGGAAAAACTTTTTTATCCTTGACATTTTGAGAAAAATGCATACCTCATAAAATTTTTTGCTTATTCTAAAATGTTTAACCCCTTTTATACTTTTCCAAATTTCCATACTATACTGTTCTGAGGAAAATTAAAAAGAATATGAAAATATGGTTGAATTTTTTGACACTATTATTTATATACATTTTTGCTACTATGACTGTTTTTGATACTATTAATTGATACTATTATTTACATACGAAGGTAGAGTGGAGGGAGATGCGCTTGGAGTTCGAGACGCTTCCGCTTCGGAAGCCAGATGACTTGTGTGCGGACGCTCTAAAGGTGCGTCCAGATTGCTCGTGATCCTGCTTGCGCTCTTGCTTCTGATTGTACTTGCGTTGCTTGCGCTTCCTGTTTGTCGTGTTTCTCAAGATCTTTCGGCTCGCAAGCAATGGCGTCCACATTGTTATGTGGTGCTTGCGTTCGTGCTGTTCGGCCATGGATGATACCAAAGTATTTTAATAGCGGCTGCTAGTGCGATCATTATTGCAAAACGAAGGAGACAAAGAGAAAAAAGGCGGTGTTGGATGTCTAATAATTTCAAAAGTAGATCCCAGCACAGTGAAAGTAAACATCTACGCGATTTACAAACAGACAGAATGTTTTTTAATATTTTTTATCGCATGTCCGCTACTGATTTTGAAAGACATATATTAACTTAGTTGGCCCCCGTATAGAAAGGAAAATACAACTTTTAGGAAGTGTATTCCGCTTAAAGAGAGAGCCTATTAACCGCCCAATAAACCGACACGTGTGTTCTGGCTCTTAAAATATGATAAGTACATGAAGAAAAATTCAAGCACCTTTTTGTTAAATAATTTTTAGGTGTTTCATTTTTATTTAATTATAAAAGTCGTAAAATTTATGTTATGAGTTTCTGTTAAAAATATTGGCATTATACTATGAACCCTGTATTTTAATATAATGATTGTGCATTCTATAGGTTTTTAATAGAAATACTGGAAGTTTTTTAATAATAAAATCTTGTACCTTTCCTATCTATATTATAGGGGTATGATGCTTTTTTTCAATATAGGAAAAATACAAAGGGTTTATTTACATATTTGTTCTATAGATATCTGGAAATTTCCTTCAAACAAAAACAAAATACTTATAATTTTAAGCATTGTTATGGGAGAGGTCGATAAAAATCAAATATTGTTTATTAACGAGAATTATGCAAATATTTGTGCATTCTAATAGCACTATATAAAATAAAAAATGTGTCATTTTTGCTAATGCTATTTACTTATTCTACTATAGTTTTGATTTTAATGAAATTTAAAGAATAACAATCCGAAAATTTTAATGTATTTATACAGGGTGTCCCAGAAATAAGTTCAAGTATTTTAACTGGTAGTATAGTTCAACCACAGAAACACGCCTTGGAGGCTTTTTTCGCAAAAAAAAATTGAAAATTCGAAATTTTTAGAATTTTTTTTTAGATTTTAGTTGAAAAGCACAATTTCTTCATAATACGGCAACATAGGTATTAAATTAAATTTACAAGAAAGAAAATCCAGAAAAGATCCAGTGGTTCTCAAAATTTTAGGAAAAAATAATTTTGTTTTGAAATTTTCAAAGTAAAATAACTCCGTTATTTTGGACTTATTTGAAAAACGATAAATAGAAAATATGTTTCTTTTATCGAGATCTACTACCCCTTAAAATACTTGCACTTATTTCTGGAACACCCTGTATATAGTAATTTATATGATAGAAAAAATGCTTCATGCCAATTTCTAATTTTATGTATATCTAAGCCAATTAAGCAATTTTAATATAACAATGTATCTCAAATTTATTATAACACTTTCAAATTATTACAACACTTATGGAATATTTTTTTGTACTTCATTATTATATGTTATAAGGTGTATAATTCTTAGTAACAATGATTCAAATTCTGGAAGGTGTCACAATAAACGATTTTTAATTCTAATCTAATCTTTATTGAAAAAAATATTTAGTTGTAATGTAGAAATTCTGTTTTAAAGAATTGAAGTGTGTAATAATTATTTTTGCCCCAAAAAAATTATTTTATAACTATAATATATACTGATTATTCTACCCTATATGCACCTAACTAAAACAAATCCCTGAAATATAGGTTTATTTTACTATAAAAGGTAAAAAGAGGGTAACGTGTTAATTGAAAAAAAAATTGATACATTAAAATTAAATAAAAATCGAATTACATATGAGTACCCTTTTTGTATGGCCATTGTATGATATTTTTGTAAAAATACCGAAGCTTTCAAGACCATTATTTGGTTTCATATGCGAACCCTAAAAACATAAACTTCTGCAAATTATCATATACAGGGGGAGTCAACATGTGAAAAAATTAAAATAACGTAAACTATTTTAACATTAGTATTCCACCAGAACTTAAAAAAGCTGAAATAAGCAGAGAAACTCAAGGAATGGTAAAAAAAGATGGACGAGAAAAATGAGTGAGGGAAATCGAAAAGAGAAATCAAAGTAGATAAAGTGAGTCTTTCAAAATTTTAAAAAGTATGTGGTCTCATGTTTCCATTATTTATTTTTTTTTACAATTTTATAATATTTCTTTACTCATTAAACACTTAAGTACTTTTCATTGTAGAATATATCTATTTCATTGTAACTTATCAGATTAAGGTACATCATTAAATTAATAATACAAAGATTCCGAATGATCATCATACTTAAAAAAAATACCATATATGTTTCATTGATGACTAAGCAAATAATCTAATATAAATTTTAAAGGTTACTAGAGTATGATCGAAAAAAAAAACGGCGTTAAAGAGGACTGGGAAATGACAGTCGATGATAATTTTAGCGAGGTCAATCTCTCTGCATCATTTGCTAAAAAAAATTGACATAGAACTTTAAACAAAACAAAAATTATCACTAATTATAGAAAGATTTTCCCTAATTTCTTGGATTATTAGTAGAAAAGAAAAATTCACCAGAAATTCACCAGAAATATATATTAATAAATATGCAAAGTTTCCCACTGGAAAAGGAGTACGACATGGAAACACAATATCCCCAAGGCTGTTTACAGCAACACTAGAAGAAATCTTCCGTCAACTGAACTGGACCAACAAAGGATTAAAAATAGATGGATAGTATCTTAACCATCTAAGATTCGCTGACAACATAGAACTACAACTACAAATGTGTGTGGAGAACTACAACCACAAATTAATGAACCAAATACAGCCAGCAATGAAGTGGGTCTGAAAATGAATTTAGCAGAAATTAAAGTAATGTACAATGAACTAGTGGAAAGGAAAGACCTTCTAATAAATAACATAACACTGGAAATAGTAGAAGAATATATATATTTAGGACAGGGCCGGAGCGAAGGCAAATATTGAGACTGGGCGAGTACCCTAAAAGTTATTATAATTCTCTCTTTTTTTCAATACTATCCTTTAACTACAACTAAGTATATTTATGCTACTTTAACAATAAAATTTCACTTAAAGATACTTCAAAATTCTTCTCTTCTTTCAATCTTAGTCTGCGGTTTTTGTTTGTTGTATACCGGGTGCGTCTCGAAATTTACTCACCCCTATAACTTTTTTATATTTTATATAAAAACGAGATTTGGTATGTTAGTATATGACATAAATTATTATTAGGATTGACTATTCAATTGTTTTTGGCCACTTCCTGTTTCACCGGAAATGACTAAAATTTCTGATTTTTAAATGGCACCTCGGTATATTTCTACTTTATCTTTATTCGATAGAAAATGACACTCTGAGAAGAATGACATATATCATATATCAACTTTTGACATTTTCGTTCAAAAAGCTTTATATTTTAAATTTAAATCTAGAGTGCCATGGTTCTGTTAAAAACACTAATTTTTAAACAAGGAGCCTTGGAATAATAGATTTAATCGTCTAATGTTTTTCATGTCTTGTCGTGGCCGGTCCAAAAGATGCCAAAACCATATTTTTAATAGAAAATATCAAAAGATGACATATGTCATAAAGTAGAAATATACCGAGGATGCCATCGAGGGTGCCATTTAAAAATCAAAAGTTGTAGGTAGTAATTTCCGGTGAAACAGGAAGTGACCAAAAACAATTGAATACGTCAATTAATCCTAATTTATGTCGTATACTAACATATCAAATTACGTTTTTTTTTCTGAAAAAATAAACAAGTTATAGGGGGTGAGCTACTTTTGAGACGCACCCGGTATATAGAGTTATATAATAGAATTCCAACTTCAGCAGTCTCGTTCTGGTATAAGTAATCTTTGAAAATATTAGTATTTAGTTTCAAGCAGTTGCATTATTTTTCTATTAGAATTTAAGAAAATTTTCTTTTCTTTTTCACAATCAATTATTTCGTGCAGAATCAGTTTATGATCAGATACAGTTTTGTATCTGATCATAAACTTCAAAATGAGGGTCAGCCAGTGTTTGAGATGCATTCCTTTGCCTTGCTCTAATGAAAAAATTCTACGATTCTGCTACCATTTTCCGTGTATTATTACACATTCAACTGGGAAAATCAAAATCATCAAAAGATTGATATATATTTTCCCACTACTGTTAATAAATTAATTTATCTAATGAGGCAAACTTATAAGCTTTTTTTTGGATAATAAGGATATCGAGCTTGCAAATGAATATTTACCTCATATAATTTTAAGGTACATCAGCCATTAATAACAAATAAAATGGTAGTAGAAAAAGTGCGATTTTGAGCTAAAACTCTCAATTTTGCTGGGTCTGGGAGAAAATTTATAAAAACACGAATTATAGAAAGAAAGGTTATTTACAAAAAGTTGATAGCTTTTGAATTACAAGTAAAATACCACGAACAAATCAGATTTATATTTTTTTATTTTATTTTGTTTAAGATTTCTCCACGAAAATGAATTCGCAAATCCCAGTTTCGAATAGAGCACCCAAAAAACATATAGAATGGATGAAATTAAAACTATCCCAAAACTTTCGTGCAAAGGATTTTTTGAGCATAATTTCAGTAAACTATAAGAGGATACGTCTAGGATATAGTAGTGTTTATAGTGTTTAGTCAGCTATTCTTCCCTATGTGGTGTGGTAATTGGTAATATTTTAATGTGGAAATTGATAGTACCGATTAATTATTGATCTGGTCATTCGTTACTCTTTTTTTTGATTACTGTTTTTAAATATTTTAGTTGTCGTCGTGGCGCCCATCGTATAAGGCGCTCCGGGCGGCCGCCCGGGACGCCCGGCCCTTCCGCCGGGCCTGATTTGGGACAACTAAGATACACAGCTCGGGATCTTTACTTCCAGAAATCAACAGAAAAATTAAGTTGGCGTGGAGTACTTACAGAGTCAAATCCCTAAAAAACAATGGGCGGAACACCTGGCAAGAAGAACGGACACACAGATGGACCACAAATATTACAGCATAGTACCCACGAGGAATTAGGAGGCCTAGAAGAAGACCCAACCTGCTGCGATAGGACCATGAGATTAGGAAATTAACTTGGGCCCACATAGTCAACAATAGACAACAATGGGCCCAATTACAAAGAGAGTATCTAAATATGTGAGTGAGGCTACACCATAATTCGAAATGGTTGAATAAGCTGAAAATGATGATGATGATGATGGTGACGTTGATATAAAGTAGATATATATTAGTAAAGCATTAATAAAGTATAAATGTAAAAATATAATGATGGTAACTTTTTGATTTTCCATAAAAAAATATCAGAATTCATCCCCAAAAAGATATAAATATTGGTTAGAAACGAAAATATATGGGATAAATATTAAATAATGCACTCTGTATAAATATATTAAACATTTTAAACATATCCTTCTTCTACTTACATATTTGTTAAAGCTCCAAACACTTAACAACACAATCCCAAAAAACACCTTTCTAATCAACACCGCCCAGTCCATTTTTTTTAAATTAAAAAAATCTAAAAAGTTCTAAAAAAGCACACAACTCCGAAGCACTCGCGCCAACAATATCTGATTTAATAACTTTATCAACGCGAATTAAACTGATAAGAACAGATCACAGATTAAGCAGTCCTCTAATCTCTAATCGGGAAAGGTTTGTAACATCAGGAATATCCGAAGCAGGAGCATCCCGGTGGCAGGTGTAAACGAATATACATCTATCCTATTTTACGTTCAAAAGTAAAGAAAAAGCTAAGATAGACAGCGTAAGTCAAACGGTAAACATGATGATGTACATGTATATCGCTCAAAAGATCTTATTTTTAGATTTACTAGTTCGGTTTATCCAAATAAAATAATTTTATGGCGCTTGGATTCGCCGGTTTTCAGTTAATATATGCGGCGAGGTGTGTTTCAGATCGTACTTAAACCCGCCACTTAGAGCTTGGGAGAGCTTACTTTAAACTAGAGAATAGGTACATTAAAGAAATGCTAACTTCATATTAAAAAATCAAAACAGACGCCACCTGGTGTAGCCTGGCAGTACTAGCTAAATTGAGGGAAATTGGAGGGGCGGTGCTTAAAAGAGGGGAAATTTAAAAAGAAATATTTTTATAAGTATCACTGACTTACTGTTTAAAGTTAATAAACATATTTTTTATTACTTTAATATAATTTAAAGTATTAAAAAATATGTCTATTAACTTTACACAGCAGATCAATGATATTATTAAAGACTTATTATTTTCAGAGAAAATTCATAGTAAATAAATTACACATTAGTAAACAATATCATTTATTTTTTAGAGCTGCGATTTATATTACAATAATATTGAAATATGTATATATATTTTTTTAACAATGAAAAAGAATATCCCGGAACCTGAAAAAGAAAGATGATCAATTAATGACTTAAATTACTTAAAAATACATTTTGCAAATAACTAGTGAATTGGAAAGATAAACATACTATTAAAAAGACATTTTAGTAGTATGTTATCATCTATTTACTGATAATACATAAGTATATAATAACAGGTAAATAACATGCATAGGGCACTATGATACAACTACCTAGTAGTTGTATCATAATAGCACACTAATATCACAAAAATATGTGCTAATTTAAATTCCTTTAATGATCTAATGAAACACTATCTAGCCTCAATGCATGCCATTTCAAAGGCAAAAAAAACTGTTATACCATATAAATATAAGCTGAATACAACATAAACCAAGCCAACGTGCATAAACAACCAAAAAATACATCAAAAAATATTTTTATCAGATCATACCCATGGATATATTATGTATTTTATATAGGTATCGCACATCCCATTCAAAAGTTTACTAACTCAAAATAAAGAATATAGAGAACATTGTCAATATAAATATAAATCAAGAGAAGTAAAAGAAAATTTAAGTTAAAACAATAGGTATGCTCCTTTTTGCATATTAATGGCCAAATAATATAATGTTGATTTAATAAAATTTTACTGGCATCCTTCTGAGGTATAAATCAGATTAAAAGGACATTGTTTTTGTAATAATTGTTTGTTTTGTAAACATTTTTTGAAGAAAATACAGTTTTGAACGGGCTGTGCGATATAAACAAGGATCTTACTATTATTTGAGGTTAGAAAGTATTTAAATAATATAAAACATAATCAAAATCATTTTTCATCATAAGTTATAGAGGTACTTACGTGTTTTGATATTATTATCAGGAAATAATACGTTTAGTTAAACAGGAACGCTGCCAAGCAAGTTCTATCGGCGGGTCTTTGCAAAAGTTGAAATCTAAAAATACAAAAATACGTTTACATCTTAGTTGTATTTACGAATAAAGTATTTGTGTGTAATTTCTGACTTACCAGTTAACTGAATAATCGCATTAAATACATCCAAATGGTAATTTAATATTGTAAAAAAGCAAAATTGTTTTAAATCACTTGCCAGGACAGCCGGCCAGCTTCTTTGTTGGCAAAATGGCCGCGGTATCATGATTTAAGCAATGTGAGTGACAAAGAAAGCCAATGCCTGGCAGATGTTGCTTTCTTTGTCGTTGGTCCTGGCACGTTTAAATTTGACTGTTGCCTGTTTTCCCATACAAGTGACACCCCCGTGCTTTAAACCATCACTTATATACAGGGTGCTTCGGTACGTCTTAGGAAATCGGAAAATCTCGGTGTTGGAAGTACCGAGAATTTCCGGTAAATTTGAAACATCAAAGAACCGGGGCTCGAAATTATTAATTCCAGTTCAGTAACAATAATTAAAAAACATTATTTATTTACAACCACATATACAATACTGACATTACTGACTTTTAAAAAATTTGAAAGTGTCAAATTATCTACATTTCTTCCCTTTTCCATTTCCCTCACTCGGTTTTTCTTATTTCTCGCCTCATTTAATTAAGCAAAATATTCTTGTAATATCTTTATTAAATATTTATCTAACATCAACGAAAATAAACAAGAAGATTAACAGTAATAATTGAAAATTTTAATACATTTATTTGTTGAAGGTAAAAATGCTAGACTTCTTTGGCTTAAAACCTACATTCTGGCGTTTTAAAAAAGGACGAGTTTGTGATATTTTGATATATGCCAGTCTTTTCCCTTAATTCTAGCATTGTCCGTATCATGCTGTACGTAGCCCAAAGAGTAGATGGCTTTTTCTGCCTTGCCATGTCGCTAAAATATACCATCAAGACTGTTTCCGAAGCAATATTCTTAGCAGTTGACTCAAGTGACGTCACTAGCGTAGAACCACTCCGTTTCGTTTCGTTTAAAAAAGCTTGTTTAGTTTATATTATAAACTAAACAAGCTTTTTGTAGAACATATTACATATACACACACATTACAATATATTATATATTTATAAACTAAGTTATTATCGATTGATGAACGTGTCTTGAAGGAGGACATTTCGGGGATTTCCTAGATGAGTTTATTTATTTTTGTTTTTGAGTCTTAGAAAAACGTGGCGCTAAATGGATAATAAAAATATTTTCGGAGTTGCTAAGAGTTTATAAACCTGTGTTTAATATTCTATTTTTAAAATTTACTAGCATCTGCCATTTTTTTCAGAAAAAAAGCACCTGCTATTATTCTTTAATAAAAAACGTTTGAACATTAATTTTAATTTTACAAACACGGGAGAGTTTTATTATAAATTTCCATTATCAACAATTATGTATATAATTATTTCTAATGTTTACAAATGTGTTTTTCTTTAAAAGTAAATTAATTATATTTAGTTATTGAAATCATTTTTTCTCGTTGTTCCTTTTATACGTTCAGGAAAATCTATTGCTCTCTCTGGCCTTTATTAGCACTTTATTTTTCTTGATATTAAACAGGCTGCCATAATAATTGCCATATTGCTATCAGTACACTGCACTGATAATATCATTTTTTTAATTGAATATAATTTTTCAGTAAATGTTGTTATAATGTGCAAAAGTTGATAAGAAACTAATATTTTTATAATAAAAGAAGCACTAGAGTTAGGATTCTTGCGTTTATTCTAACTATACTTTCTAAAATTTCTCTATACAGGGTGAGTCGAGTTATAGGTGGTAAATTCGACCCCAGAAACACGTATGAGTTTGTTTTTTGCCAAAAAAAAATGTTGGAAATCTTGGCTTGAAATGAGGTATGAAATGAATTTTCTTTTAAATTTTCCTGTATATTTTAGAAAACTTTTTAGAACTGCCTGTTTGCCGCAAATTTTCCAAATCTCTGATATTGCCATGGTTATGGCTTTTAACCAAAAACTTAAACGTTACGGCACTAAAAGGGATGCAAATACAGAAAAAATTCGGTGGCTCTCATTTTTTTTAAATAGTATATTGTTTTATTAGGAGTAAAAATGACACTTCTCGCGGGGAGGCTGTAAGTTTGACATTGCCACGTATACCGACACAGCCGAGGCACAAAAAGTCATGTTTACTCCGAATAAAACATGTTTTATTTTTTTCAAATACCACAAGTTTTTAAACAATTTCAAACTTACCAAATTATAGAAAAAGTTTTAAATGTCATACCTTGTATGTAATTATATATAGGGAAACTTACGGGGCTCGTTGAATTTGATACTTGTCAGTTTAATAATATATTTTCGTACTTTTATGCTTAGGCGTAAAAGTGCTTTACTTTTATGACTACTAAAATGACTTTTTAAAATTGTCAATCACGTCGCAAAAATTAATACTTTTGTGACGTTTGAAAAAAAAAATTATCATTTGTATTTTTAAATTTTAATAACTCGGTTATTTTGGACTTTTGAAAGATTGATTTTGGATTTGAAAAATAAGCTCTCTTCGATGTCACTTTTAAAAACAAAGGAAGTGAATTAGACTGCGGAAATTACCGGGCAATGTCACTATTGGCTATCAGAGGAAAAATTCTTGCAAAAATTATGTCAAATTGCCTTCACCCACATATAGAAAAAAATCATTCCAGAATCGCAAACGGGTTTTCGCACCAACCGTGGTACCGTCGATTCCATATTTTCCATCCGCCAACTACAGGAAAAAGTAAAAGAGCAGCAGTCTAAACTTTATGTCGCATTCATCGATCTAACAAAATCATCATCGGCTGGTCACATATGCAGAATGCACGAAAACCGCATACCAAAATCTCTGCTTTACGGTGAGCTTGTAGACGGTAAGAGGAGGCCAGGTGGACAACTCAAAAGGTACAAAGACATTTTCCACGAAAACTTAAAGGGAAAACTTAAAGGATTAACATGCAAAATCATTGGGAAGAAGCAGTTCACAATAGAACTCAATGAAGAAGAATTGTAAACTCAGTTAACAGCTACAACCAAAAAGTAAAGAGGCAACAAAGCAATGAGATTTTTGAATGTCCGGAGTGCGGTAGGCAAATAACATCACATATCGGGCTTTTCAGTCACAGAAAAGCTCACGAAAGAAAACGCCTTGTGTAACCATCTTTTGATGCGTGTCGAATACTCGTCAGCGAGAAATGGCAGTATGTCTGTATGTAAAGGAAAGTGATAAGCAGAGAATAAACGTCTTGGAGATGTGGGTATATCGACGGGTGCTGGGAATACCATGGACGGCTCATGGAACAAACATTTCCATTATTAAAGAACTAAAAATTGAGACATGTCTGGTTGCCAAATTAAATCAGTCAATCCTCCGATATTTTGGCCATATTGCCAGGAATGGCACCTCAATTGAGAGACTGATGGTGGAGGGGAA